TATACAGTATATATTAAAAACTTACGGATTTCGGTCCACTTAGAAACTTTTTTTGTTGTTGTTACACTTGTGGGTTTGGTTATAGCACATTTATTGATTACATCATGTGCTTCAAGTGACCGCATTGCAATTAAGTAATTTCTCGATCGGAATGTGGACCATTTCATTATGCAAACAAAGCTTTAGTTATAGCAATTGAAGAGATTGTAGATATTACCTTGATGCATCATACTATAGAACGTATTTCACTCATTTTGTGGAAGTTAGGTCAATAATCTTCTGAGACCAGAAACNAAAAAGCATATAATTTGTTTGATTCTTCTCTATTATCCATACTTGAAATTGTGACTTTCACAAGTCTCTTATAAACTACTACTACTACCTACCCATACTTGGTTTAAAATTTGTTGTGACAGCTTTTGACTTGGTAATTGATGATTTCTTTAAGCCTCTTTAATGGTCTAAATATAAAAACTCTATACAGAAGTTTTCATCAAAACAAGAAGGTTTGTCTTCCAAAACAAAAGTTGTGAGAGAGAGAGAGACAAAAGTGTTGAAGAATGAATAGGTTTGATGGACCACCACGTCTCATGCTAGTCGCTGATCTTGATTGCACATTGGTAATAACTCCTAATTCCTCTCTCACACACTTCTGATTCTCAATCTTCTACTCTTTTTTTCCCCAAAATCCGTAGGTGGATCATGATGATCCTGAAAACACCGATTTACTTAGATTCAATGCTCTTTGGGAAGCTCACTTTCGCCATGATTCATTGCTTGTTTACTCTACTGGAAGGTCTTTGCGTTCTTACTTGAATCTAAGGAAGAAAAAGCCATTGTTGACTCCGGACATCGCTATAACTTCTGTTGGTTCTGAGATTGTTTACGGTGGTGAATCCATGGTGTCTGATGATGTTTGGGAAGCTCGTCTGAATCACATGTGGAACAGAGACATTGTTGTTGAAGAAACTAATAGATTTCCTCAACTTGAGCCACAGGTATATATATATATTTGTTAAAATGAGTTTTGCTAATTATGTTTTCTTCAATAAAATGATTTCGTGATCTGTTTCTTTTGAACTGGTTCATGTTTCATCCACTGTGTTTTTTTTAGGTTTTTGTCTTTGTCCTGAAGCTTGGAATCTTTTGCTATATTGTGTTGATATCTTGTTTCTTGCTGCGTTGACTTAGACTTTCTGTTTGGACACTTAACTGATTCAAATTGTTATGCTGAATCTGTAGCAATTTGGTCACTTCTTTTCGTTTTGTTTTGTTCTGTTATAGCCAGAGAAGAGCCAAGAGCAGCACAAAGTGAGTTTTTTCGTTGGAAGAGAACACGCTATCGAAATAATGAAGGTTCTTCCCGGGCGATTAATGGATCGTGGGGTGAGACTCTGTGTGTACCCTTTCGTATGAATTTTAATGGCTATTCTTTTGGTGCTGGCGAAACTTCTAATTCCGTATAGGTGGATGTGAAGCTGGTTTATAGCAACGACTATGCTTTCGATATATTACCAAGAGGAGCTGGCAAAGGAGGAGCTTTGACATATCTAATTGACAAGTTAGAGAGTGAAGGCAAGCAGCCTTCTAACACACTTGTTTGTGGTGACTCTGGAAACGACGCTGAGCTCTTCGACGTTCCTCAAGTATATGGCGTAATGGTTAGTTCCCTACTGCTCTTTTTTGTTTTTAAAGTTTGATCATACTTGACTGCGCGCTCCTAATCGTGCTGCTATTATTACTGTTTAAGGTTAGCAATTCGCACGAAGGATTATTGAAATGGCATGAAGAAAATGCAAAGGACAACCCAAATATAATTCTTGCGTCTGAGAGATGTGCAGCTGGGATGATTGAAGCCTTGCAAAGGTTTAATTTGGGACCAAGTACCTCTCCAAGAGATGTTTTCGATACTGAAATTTTCCACGCGGAAAGTTTGAACATTGCTCATGAGGTTGTTCAGTTTTACTTGTTTTATGAGAGATGGATATGTGGAGAGGTGGAGAAGTCTGACAAGTATTTGCAGAATTTGAAATCGCTCTCTGTAAGTGTGTTTCTTCAGTTGCTACCTAGAAAATACTTCAAAATCGTATTCTAGTCAAGTATAAAGAATCTTTGAAGTTGATAAAAAAATACTTAAGTGCCCAAAATTGATAGTTTTGAAGATGTTCTTGATTGCTTGTGTTGTGTAAACTGACTAGCTGACTAAATTGTTTGGCTTTTGCAATGTTTTCAGAGTCCACTTGGTGTTTTTGTTCATCCGTCCGGAGAGGAGAAACTGATACATGAATGGATAGATGAGATGGAAAGTTTACATGGGGATGCGAAGGAAAAGCAGTTTCGCATTTGGTTGGATAGAGTTTCGACTTCTCATATCACCTCAGATTCATGGCTTGCAAGATTTGACAAACATGAGTTATCTGGTAAGAAATCTAATTCTTTAAAAAAAAAAAAATAGTTTCAGCTACTTCTTCTAAGATATAGATCAATCCTACCAATCATCATTGTATTAATGTTTTTGATTTGTATGCAGAGGGAAAAGTAAGGTCTTGTTCAACAAAAGTCTTACTGACTTATGAGGTAAACTTTCTTAATTCATGTCCTTAAACATTTCAAACGATTTGATTTGATTAAGTACTATTGAAAATCTGAAAGAAAGAAAAATGTGTTAAAATGTGGAGGAGGAAAAGCAAATGCTGATGTGGATGCACATCCACCAATCATGGTTAGATGATTCATGTTCAGATGATCAAGAAAAATGGATTTTCTAAAAGGATTATCTTAATCTGGACTGACATATTAAGATTGATACCTGTTTGGGACAGAAGCTAACCACCAAAAGAGCACAGTGTTTGTTTTGTGTTATGTTGTTTGAAATGGTGTGAATTTGATAAGCATGCATGCAGAAAAATAAAAGCTGAAGAAGAATGTCTTGGTTTCAATAATTGTGCCTCTTGGATATATAATTGGTTTGTTTAGTGACATTTATTTTGTTTATGTATATATATTTGGTTGGTTCATTGGCTTTCTACTTAATTGTCATCAAAAAGTACTGATTTAAGAAAGGATTCGTGTTTCATTCTTTTTTCGGTTTCTACGGATTGTTCTGTACCAACTTTGGTTCAATTCCGTCAAATTCGGTTTTTAGGATATAGAAAAGAAAAAATAAAACTGTTTCAATCATATCAATCCTGCCTAGGATACTGGAATGCCTTTTTCACTCTACACTCAAAACACTTCGCAAGTCACGGAAACATGATTTCAAACAAAAAGACTAACTACTAATTACCACCACTTTCCGTAATTAACGCCTTTTTCACTTTATCTTCTTTATATATTACTTCTTTAACAAAGCCCCACATTGCTCCTCCAAATGGCTACCTCAAACACTCTCATCTTCTTCTTCTTATGTTCTCTTTGTCTTATCCTTAGCAAAGAAGCATCTTCTCAGCTTGATGAGCTATGGCTAGTCGGTGATGACGATGATCCACTTAACGCGTTGCATTTTCATACTATATCCTAGATGGATGCAGCTTGCATACTAGATGTTGACTTAGTCGATATATTAACGCTTTATCTTTCCTCTAATGACAATGACATTATCTACAATTCTCACGGTTGAGTTAGAGGATGGCTCGTAGTTAATGACATTATCTTTTCCTACAGTTTTTTCTCTTGCAAAGTTGATGAATGTGGATGAAGATCTAAGCCATCTTTCTGCGATAGCCAGGTACCTATTTAGTGGATTTCTTCTCATTGGCATTCCCTACAAGTTATTTAGCATCATCCTCATGCATTGATTATATACGGTTTACATTTTGATTTATCTTTTAGAGTGATCTTAATTTATGCATCAGTTGTAATAATAATTTTTTTGAGTTATTTGTATAATGACATTTCTCTACTGGTATACACGGTTTAATTCTCATTTTCTCACGTAGGCAAGGTTCAGGAAGTGCTTGCCGTAGTTTATTTGGTGGTTTTGTC